GTATGAATCCTCTTCTTCTTCCCTCCCCCCCAGCTATGAGTAAATAAAAGGACAGACCGGGTTCTATAGCCTTGGATGGCAACTGCTCTACCGCAGAAAGAAATTACAATGTACTACGGGGGAAAAAAAAATCTGCCTTATCAGTCATGCATCGAAAGATACATGATCGCCTAAGCGTGTATCACGATAACTGAACTAGACATTTTAATCGAAATTACGCCCCAATGAAGGCAATAAAGCCACTAAAACAAAAGGGTGTGAAAGAAGTAGAAAACAGAAAGCATTATGAATGAGAGAGAACAAATGATGAATAATCAGGAGGACAATAGAAAACGATTGACATTTCATTCACATTTTTGAAGATCAATCGAAAGATACATGATCGCCTAAGCGTGTACCACGCATGGCACATAACTGACTGACAATATGTCCTCAATTACCTGGTGCATACCGTGTAGCTTTATCTTTGTTTAGAGTCGCAATTTCTATAAAGAAGTTGTTACTTTTTTTTTTCTATTCTACAACTACATTGGCCTTGTATTACTTGTTGGGTTTTTGACTTTATTTCAGTAATTTCTCTATCCTCTTCCGTTATCGACACTAATTTTCAACTTCAGTGTCAGAATTTAACGACCACTTGTCAAAAGTTTCATTAAAAATATTCTTATCGAGCTTTTTCTTTTTTGGCTTAATTTTAATTTTGTTGACAGCCGTCAGGTGAAATTCTGATGAGATTTTTCACACATACACGCACGCACAAACACACTCACATACACACGCGCGCGCACGCAATCATTGTACACATTTATACTACACGAATATACAGGCACACGGATACACGCACACTCAACCGCGCACACATAAATAACAGCATAAACGCAAACATATACTCACATATAGGCAACCTCTCCTTTAAAGATATATGATATTTTATAAGTGTTTTCAGTTCGAACCTCTTATTTTTTGGCCTTGTGTCAGGCTAAGCTAATGAAATTATATTATTCTATCACTGTGAACGCAATCTGGTAAACTCCTTTAAAAAGCATTGCTAAAATCAAAATGAAAGTCCCAAATTCATCATCATCATCATCATCATTAGTCACTCGACTGCTTCGTCGGGTGGGGCCTGAGTGCAGAAGAAACAGACAACATCCTTCAGGATAATCTGTTGACGGTGGTCCTCAGGAGTTCCGGCATTGTTTTTGCGTGGAACCACGTCTTAATTGTTGGTGTTCCCAGATCCACCCTGACTCAGGGTGGTAGCACTCGTTTTGAAAAAAATATTACCAGCAATACAATTTTTAAGGAAAAATATTACCAGAAACAGATTTTTGACAAAACAAAATATTACCAGCAATAAAAAAATGTTGTCTGTATTAAATAAGCCATTGAGGTTGATATGCCGTAAGACAAAATAAACCAAACCAATCTAAACCAAAGAATACATATTCTATTCATACGAATCCATCCTAAAAATGTTGTCGGTATTAAATAACTCATTGATGTTGATATGTCGTACAACAAAATAAACGAAACCAAACCAAATATGCATGAATTGCATGAAGTTCTTGCAGAGACTGTTAAACCGTGTGACGTGGCCAAACCATGGCATCTTCCAACGCTTAATAGTGGCGAGGAGAGATTCATGTTGGTCGACGAGACTTTTCTACTTACATAGTCATTTGTTTTGGGGCTCCCAGTAGGAGACGCGGAGGAGCTTCCTCAAACTTTTGTTTTGGAAGGTCTGCATCCTTTTTCCTGTCCCAGCCAACAGTGTCCAAATATCACACCCGTAAGTGGGAGGAAGGACAAGACCAGCGTTTTGTAGAGCTTGAACTTGGAATTGAAGGTGGCCAGTTTTACCCTTCCATATCCTTTCCAGTCTGGTCGTCGCTGCTGTCGCTGTGGCGATCCGTGTGCGGATTTCTACGTTGCCGGTGCCATCTTTTGACACGTTTGCTCCCAGGCACTTGAATCTTGACACTTCCTTCAGTCGTTAGCTGACGCTGTCAATAGTATTGCTTGTGTGATTCATCATTATTTTGGATTTCGCTGTGTTGCGAATTCCATTCCATATTCGCTAGGTCTTTCAACAACATTGTTGGTCAGGTCTTGAATCTCAGTGTTACTGCCCACCATAAGGTCAATATTTTCCACAGGTCTATTACCGATAGAGATTGTGCTATAATCGTGGAGGGTTTCTTGCGTAATTCTCTCCAGAAAAAGGTTGAAGTGTACTGTAGCGAGTAGGCACCCTTGACTGACACTGATGACAGTCTGGAAGAAATCTTCCACTCTGTTCCTAAAGTGAACTCCGCTGCTGGTATGGCCATAGAGGGTCAGGACGGCTGGATATGCCCTTCTATTTTGAATCCTCTGACGACGTGATATAGGTCATTATGCCATATCTGATCAATGGTCGTCAAATAAAAGTGTGTTTAACTGCAAACAATTATAACTATGACATATAAACTACCTCATTTACAATAGTAAAGTTATATAATGTTCCTTTTAATTTTCTTATTATATACTGAGTGTGTTTTTTCAGCTTTTACAAAATAATCAAAAATAAAAAAATGAGTTATTTTGAAAGATCGCAAAGAATAGACAAAATTAATCATCTCTTCGTAATAAGGGATATTGTAACAGCAGTAGTATTATGCGGCTTTCAAACAACCTATTTAAAATATAGGTGTATCATTTAACCCTTAATTTTATTGCTATACTAGCAGCGTGGCCCGGCGTTGCCCGTGCTTGATTCAAAAATCGTACGACTCATACAGCAATCGCTATCACTTGACTTAAAATAGTTTTGCCCTTCCTTGCCATTAAAGGAGTGCCCTTTGCCGTGCTGATGTTGCTACATGCCTTACTTCTTGCCTATCTCAAACTGTGCATTTTTTCTAAACTCTATACTAAACATTAAATCTGTTACGAAAAAAGAACTAAACAAAATGAACACAAAATGATCAGCTTTAAAAAAGGACTCGTAACTGGAAAAACCGAATAAAAAAAGAATGTTAACAACAAATACTTTTTCACACCCAACCCAGTTCTGCGGAATCAGAATCAACGTTGAGTTTAAGCAAGCGAATGAGCCAATTGGAGTAAAGTGCCATACAGATTAAAATTTTCCCCACTTGTGACGAATGCAGCTATCGATTTTTTTGTGTATGCTAGAATGGTAGTTAACATTCGTGTCAGTCAGCTGTTGGCTCTCACACTGGCCAATAGAATCTTCCTGCCTATTCGTGGCAGCCAGCTATTGGCTCTCATACTGGCCAGTACAAAATGGCCGCAAACTACATGAAAACTGCCATAGAAGCATGAAAAAATCGATTATTTCCACTATCGATGGGCGTCGGGAAATGCAAAGTCGGTCTTGGCCTTTCCGCTAACTTGGAGCATGTGCATGTAAATTTTGGTGCAAATCCGTCAAAAATTGTGGCCGTGCATTCGGCACACACACACACACACACACACACACACACACACACACACACACACACACACACACACATCCTGCCTTTTATAGATATTGTTTTAAGTGTTCTTTCTGGTTTTTATAGGATAAATAAAAATGGGAAAAAAAATTGGTGCTTCTATTTTGTGTATAAAATGTGAAAATGCTTTTATTTTGAAAAATTCAATTCAATAACAAATTTGAGAGTTTCAAAAATTTTCATTTGCAAAAATCCAAGAAGAAAAAAACAGGTTCCTCAAGACATTGATGACAGGACAACTATTTGAAGGAATGCTAGTGTTTGTTCAAGTTAGAAACAATAAAAATAACAATGTTTATGTGGTAAGATTTTTGTCTTAATGGTAATAAGTTTAGTTGGATCATAGTCATCATTGTGGTTATTTAAACACTTGATGCTTAGCAATAAATGAATAAAAATAGGTGCTTCTATTTTTTACACAGTGATGAGAATATTAATCCAAATAAATGTGTGAAAGGTCAATAAAATCTTGAGACATTATGTTTCATTTAGTCTTTAAGCAGATGATCTTCATTAATAAATTCAAGTAAAGACTATCAGTTGCTGTTTAAAGACAAAATATGGCTTACATGAAGGGACAGCAGAATTCAAAATACAAAACGAATGTTGAACACTATGAGTATGTCACAGCCTTTTATTAGCATGGGACTTTCAAACAACTTATTTAAAATATACATATAAAATTTAGTTTTTAATTTTCTTATTATATATTGTCTTTACTGTTCTTTTCTGGTTTTTATAGGATAAATAAAATAAAAATAACAAAAAATGGTTTTATCTTGAAAAGTTCAATTCAAAAATGAATTTCTAAATTTCAAAAAATTCAAATTTGCAAAATTAGGTTTCATTTTATTTTCTATATGATCTTTTAAAATAATTTCTAATCAATCTGAATCCTCTTCATCTATCTGTTCCCATTCCATGAACAAGAAGGTTACTGTGATCTTACATTTCTATCACAGTTATTACAATTTCTACTTTATGGTCATATGCTTGTAACCCACAAATATTATGACTAAAACCAGAAACTCATTGCAGTTACTTGACAAGTATTCAGAAAACTACTTGACTAATCAGGAAAATTTAAAATTTATTGGTAAATTTCTAATATTTCCTCAGTAAGCCTTTTTGTAAGGCTATAAAGCCAAAGTATCTAAAATTCAATAAAATATTAGATTGCTTAAAATATTCAAAATTTTTATGATTATTGGGTAGTTAAAAAATTAAATAAAAAGGCATTCATGTTATATTCATCAAGTTTCCTATAGGAAAATTCCAAAATATAAGTCTAGTGAGAAAGTTTTCAACACCTAAAAACATCCATCTCTCTGTTAAAAAATGATTTTCTGTGATATTTTAAACTAAAAGTAATGCGTTTCAAATCGCTATCTCCTAAAATTCACTGAAAAAAATGACCCTAACCTAAAAAAAAAAAAGTTTTATCGTCAAATTCTGGAGATCTTTTCTCATCAGAACGATCAGAGTGAGTTTTTCGAGTTAATGTTGATTCATACTGCGGTAGATAGATAGATAGATAGATAGATAGATAGATAGATAGATAGATAACAGAATAGGATAGATAGAGAAAAGAGGGAAAGGGAGAGGGAGATTAAGATAGCGATTAAATTCAGTATAGCTTATAGAGTAGAGGCTGGGGGTATGAACAGTTGAAAAACTCACTTTCTCTCGATTATTTATAATGTTAGAATCAGCAATACTGTTACTCCCATTATAAATCTTAAGAGGAACAATTACATACTCAAGTCATTATTTGCTGCTCGAATGAAAGAACGTATTGCATCTCGTAAATTCGGCTCCAAGAATTATTGGCGTCTCTGCAAGAGCGTACTTAATAATAGCAAACCCTCTATAACTCCTTTGTTCAACCAGTTCGAGGTTCTGACCTCTTCTGTCGACAAGGCTAAATGCTTTGCTCGGCAATTCTCATTCAATTCAACGCTCGACTCTTCCGGTGTATCCACACCCGATTTCTCCCCTTAGAACTGAGGCTCCATTGAGCGAGTTTCACATAACCCCGTCATCGGTATTGGGCATTATCTCTAATTTAGACCCCCACAAGTCTAGTGGTGGGGACAGAATACCAGCCATTGTCCTGAAGAAATGTGTGTTTGAACTGGCCCCTGCCCTCTCTAAATTATATAACTACTGCCTCAATGAATCTTGTCTTCCAGACTGTTGGAAGTCCTCATCCATTGTTCCTGTCTTTAAGAACTCTGGGGACCCTTTTGACCCTTCTAATTACCGTCCTATCAGTTTCCTACCCCCTCTTCGAAGCTTTAATCAACGCCGAAGTGGTTAAGCACCTTACATTCCATGATCTGCTCTCCGACAAGCAATATGGTTTCCGCTTTGCTCATTCTACAGCTGATGTGCTTACGGCCATCACTGAAATTGTTTACCAAGCCCTTCATAATAACGGAGAAGCTCGTGTCGTGGCTCTAGATATCTCTAAAGCGTTTGATAGGGTTTGACATGCCGGCCTTCTTCGCAAGCTCCAGGGTTATGAAATTTCAAGTCGATTGTTTGACTTAATAAAATCATTCCTCTCACACCGTGTACTGAAGGTCGTTCTCAACTGATTCTCCTTCAGCAGCTATCCCACAAACACAGGTGTTCCCCAAGGCTCCACCCTAGGCCCTACTCTGTTCCTTATCTTTATCAACGATCTTCCTGACGCTATAGATTCCCAAGTAGGCATCTACGCGAACGACACTACAATTTACCCCTGCCTCAAAACAAATCGAGTGTCGCTGACAAAACTAACCTGGCCGTTCGTCTCGAAAAAGACCTCGAATCGGTTGTGACCTGGGGTAGTAGTTTGCTGGTTAACTTTAACGCCTCAAAAACAAATCTGCTCTCTATTACTCATCACAGAGAACCATTTCTGCCTCCCATTATGATGTCTGACGTTCAACTTCTCGTGAGTTCCTCTTTGCGACTACTCGACCTCACATTGACTGCTGACCTGAGATAGAACAAATACATGAGGTCAATAGCTTCGTCCACCGCAAAGAAAGTTGTCTCTCTGCGCCGCGCCAGGAAAATTTTCTCGCCGGAGTTGATGCTTCAAACCTACAAATCAACCATTCGCCCTTGCATGGAGCATTGCTGTCATATATGGTCTGGAGCCCCTTCTGTTTGTCTCAAGGTCCTTGATAAAATACAGAGACGGACATGCAATGTTACTGGCCCTGATCTGGCATCTCGTCTGCAATCGCCAAGTACAAGATTGGCGGCAAATTCTCATAATTTGACAGTTGAAACAGCTAGATCTAACCGTAAGTTCTATGCTAACATTTTCTTTTCTCGCACTTCTCGCTTGTGGATCTCTCTTCCGGCTTCTTGCATTCCAGTCAAAATTTAAAAATGTTCAGAAATTAAAATGTAATGTCAATCGTTATCTACCGTTTTCTTAATTCTTGTTTTATTATTCTCTCTCCTTCATAGTAGCTTTTATTCACTTACTCTCTAATGCTCAGTAACCCCCCCCACCTTTACGTCGTAGTAGATTTGTTGCCTTAATTTCAAAGAAAGATAACACAAAAGAAACAGAAATAAAAAAGAATGCATCTTGGCTTAAGTCAATTTCTAACCGACGTAAGGTAGCTTCCCTGTGTCTTTTCTATGGTAACTGTTCTGTTGAACTTTCCACCATGATGCATAGATTTTATAAATTTAAGCGCAGTACTCGATAGGCGGATAGGTCTCATTATTTTAAAGTTGAAATGGTTAGATGTAACTGTTAGTTCTATGCTAACAATTTCTTCTTGCTTGTGGAACTCTATTACGGCTTTGTGCTCTCCATTCTTTGATTTCCTAAAATTTAAATGTCAGTAGTTATCTTCTATCTTCTTAATTGTTGTCTTAAGGACCATAGTTTGGACCCGGTTCTACAGGATACAAAGCAGGAAACATAACATAATAATAATAATAATAATAATAATAATCAACGTATAAGTTGATCACGTCTGTACTGGCGAACCGTACTTATTCCTTCTGTTCCGCTGGAACAGAAGGGATGCAGAAGAGGTTCATATGGCTGCAAAGATCAACTACTGATAAATAAAATGATCCTGGAAAATTGCAGAAGACGACGTAGAAATCTTAGCGCAGCGTGGATTGATTATCGTAAAGCCTTTGATAGTGTGCCACATTCTTGGGTCCTTAAGACTTTGGAAATGTACAAAGTCTCCCTTGAGGTATTAAATTCCCTTAAGTGCAGCATGGGAATTTGGAACACCAAACTATAACTTAGTCACACCGGGGGCACTGCCATATCCAACCGTCTGAATATCCGACGTGGAATCTTTCAAGGAGACTCTCTGTCACCCCTTCTGTTTTGTTTATCCTTAATCCCTCTTACACATGAACTGAACAACAGTAGCTATGGTTACAAAACAAATAAGAAAATATTCAATCACCTACTCTACATGAATGATCTCAAACTCTTTGCCAAAGGCAACAATGAGTTGAAAGGCCTCCTCAATATTGTAAAATACTTCAGTGACCACATAGGTATGGACTTCGGATTAGATAAATGTGCAAAAGTAACATTCAAGAAAGGTAGAATTACAGAAACACCCTTAATAGATTTAGATTTTGTCACAAAGATTAGGGAACTGGAGCATGATGAAGCTTATAAGTACCTAGGAATTAGCGAAGGAGATGGCATACAACACCCCCAAATGAAGGGAAAAAAGAAAAGAGTACTACAGGCGTGTACGTCTGGTACTAAATACTGAGCTAAACTCAAAAAACAGAATATCAGCCATAAACACATTGTCTGTCCCTGTGGTGCAATACAGATTTAATGTCCTTAATTGGACCATAGCTGAAATTAAGCGAATGGACGCCAAAACGAGAAAGCTTCTCACTTGCTACTGCATGCATCATCCCAAAACTAATGTTGATCGTCTGTATGTGCCCAGATCCGAAGGAGGCAGAGGATTAGTTCAACTAGAACTGTCCTAGAAAACTACAACAATTAGCCTCCAAAGATACTTGGAAACTACAGAAGACTGGATGATGGTATGCGTCAAGGAACATGAAAGTAGTAAAGCGTCTTTATTCCATAATAAAAGAAGCCAACAAATTCAAAATGGAGTTTCAAATGGGTGTAGAGATGCAAGTACAGCACAATACACCGGCTGTAACTACAAAATACTTAAAAAGGACAGCAAAGACGAATGCAACCGACCAGATACAGAAGCGATGGCAAGATAAACCGCTTCATGGCCAATACTCTGCCCGTACCAATCAAGCTGACGTAGACAAAACCCGTACCCATCAGTGGCTACGTAGTGCAGGGTTGAAAGCTGAAACTGAAGGTTTTATTCTTGCTGCACAGGACCAATGCTTGCTAAATAGGAATTATCAAGCACATATACTAAAATATTGTGTAAGCCCAAAATGCAGATTCTGTGATAAATATCCAGAAACGATTGATCATCTTGTATCAGGTTGCACGATGTTGGCATCCACTGAATATAAAACCCCGACATGACAGAGTGGGCCAATATATGTACTGGAAAATCTGCAACTTCTACGGGAAGGAAACTGAAAGAAACTGGTATGAATACCACCCAGACCCGTTTAAGGAGATAGGACCTGTTACAATTCTATGGGACTACACAATACACACTGACAGAACAATCAAAGCCAACCGCCCAGATATTGTTATTAGAGACAACAAACAAAAAAAGTGCCTCCTTATTGATATGGCAGTCCCTGCTGACTGCAATGTATCTTTGAAGATATTCAAAAGTTGTCAAAATACAAGGACCTTGAAATAGAAATCTCGAAAATGTGGCATATGGGTACATCAACAATCCCTGTTGTAGTTGGAGCCTTAGGACTGGTTGGAAAAAGATTGCAGTAGACTACTTGAAGGGATTTCTGGAAGTCCATGCTTCAAGGAGATACAAAAATTGTTCTGACAAATACAGCCCACACTTTACGAAGGGCTTTATCTATGTATTTTTTTTTTTTTTTTTTCAGTGGAAAGTGTCATGACGCCATTTCTAACCTTAGGTCCCTGGGTGGGACCCGGATAGAAATGTGTAAACGGCAGAAATCAAAGGAAATAAAAATAATAATAATAATAATAAAGTACTGTATATAATTGGCAAGGAATTATTCAAGAGAAAGTCAGAGCGAATGAGAAGGGGATGCTTTCGAGGAATAAGACAGCATGTTTAATTTGAGTGACATTAACTATATGTGAAGTACAAAGCAGCGTCGTATTACTGAGAGAGGTTGATCGGAAATATCTAACTAAAAGCTTGACAATTGTAGCGCAAGACGAAGCCCTTTACTAATGCCAAAAATACCAGACACAAAACACCAATCCCTCCAAAATGTGGGCTTTGTGGTGAACACCATGGGAATGTGATTCACCTGATCAGTGGTTGCAAAATACTAGCTCAAAAAGAATCTAAGAGGCGCCATGATAAGGTATGTCTTTATGTACATTGGTTATTGCCTCGAAAGTATGGATACCAAATTGCAGAAAACTGGTGTGAGCATGTGATTGCAGAACAATTGTAAAATGTTGAAAAGCCCAAATATTCTGGTATTATGCTTTTCGTGCAGAGAGAATGATATACCTTCGCCATC